GGCGGATGTGACTCGCCACAAAATAAAAGCACTGGCCCGTGGATATCCGGAAAGTGCTATCCAACCCACAGACATCAATCGCTTATGCTCACATTCCTGAGGATAACAAGCAGTCAAAAATGCTCCTGCATATTCAAAGACACAAGCTACATTCATACAAAATTACATACGTAATACACCCATACACGCTGGATATCCGGAAAGTGCTATCCAACTCGCAGACATCAATCGCTTATGCTCACATTCCTGAAGCTAAGAAACAGTCAAAAATGCTCCGGCATATTCAGACACAAGCAACATTCATATAAAATTACAAACGTATATACACTCATACACTTACATACACTGTTATACCAAACGTACTTTTTGTACATTTTTGATCACACTATGTTAGCTAAGCATGATCATGCCTGTAAAGGTGTGCCTCGCCTTGTCGAGAATAAAAGTTTATTTATATATTTACTACTTGACCTAATCACCTCAGTTATTGCAGCGATATTAGCATATTGCGGCGGCCCCCATTGTCCAGGACTCGACGTTTAATTTCAGCGTTGCGAACGCGGTGTTCGCGCCACACACAAGCTACACGCCGCTGACAAACATTGTCAAAGGCCGAAACCCGACGCGGATCGGCCTGGACTTACTTCCATATAACAGGACCTCGCGGATGCCGTATTCGTAGGCTCTGTCCATTGCCGAGGCCAAAACGTCATGTCGACGCCACAGTTGCTTTACAGCAGCGGAAGCGTATCGGTCTTTGGTAATTCGGAGAGAAATCTCTTTACCAATGGTGCCATAATAAGGGACGCACCTCCCAAGGTAGAGCAAGCCATGTACTTGAACAGGCTGCACGCTTTCAGGTATCAGCGAGCCGGCAGGTGGATGCCAAGCCTACAGTAGGACTTCTGATTTCGATTGGGCAGAGGTCATTCCATACTTGGTAGCTTCGCATGCTAAGCTGTTTACAATGACCTGCACTATCTGTGGGTCGTTACCAAGCACGGCAAGGTAATAAACATAGTCCAACTTGCCTAGAAGAAAAACTAGACCAGGACACTGGAGACCTTCCATAGCGTTTAATAAGCCCTCACCAATTGCAATGTTGAAGGGATATGCGGACTTAAGGCATCCCGTCGCACACCGCTAGTGACGACGAAAGGCAAAGAGTGCTGAACATAAGCTCTAAATGCCGGAAACCTTGTCGTATAAAGCGCGAAGTACCGCGGTATACCTTTCGAATACTGCATTCCTTTGCAAACAACGCCATAATGCAGGCCGGCCGATCGAGTCGCACGCAGCTCGGATATTCCAAAGTGTGGCAGTGGTAAGCTGGCGATAAAGTTGACGCTGCTTGAGGAGTTGGCGGAGAGCAAAATTGTGCTCCACACACCCTCTACTGGGGCGGATACCAGCTTATGCTTTGCCGGAGTGTATTTCTCGAATCAGTGTTACTCTGCACACTAGAATGGATGTTAACAATTTGGAGGCAGTGGACATTCGTCCGATCCCTCTGTGTTTGACTCATGTAGCACGAGCTCCTTAATTGAAGTTGGTAACGATAATCGACACGCTACAAGTGGCCAGAGCCTTTATTCGTGGCAGCTTTGAAGATGAAAGCTGTTAATTGATTGACCATTCCCTCGCCACCGTACACAAATACCCATAGAAAATGTCAGCCTGTTCCGGCAGCTATGAAGCGCCTCTAGCGACGGAGCTCAAAAAGCCCTCCCATTCGGTAGGTGGTTCCAGTGACGCCTTCCAAGGCATACAGTTTGGCCCAGTTTGAAAACAACTCAACTAAGTGAACGTCACAGCCCAGCGAATCATGCGCCTACGCAACTTAGTGTTTGTTGCGCCATCAGCCCCGCAAATGGCCCCACGTTCACCAGTTCGTCTGTGGCCAGTGGTCCGAAGGACTTGGAGGGTTTGCGAAAACTTCCAGAGTGAGCTGTTTTCTCCAGCTGCAAGGCGCGCTGAGATCACCATTCTTCGCGCTCATTACGGGGCTTTGTCGGAATTATTGTTTGAGGTTTCGGCGTCAGTCAAACAATTTCGCCGAGCGTGCAGAGCCCCAGGATTTGAGAGGACGCCCAACGGTTACACATTTGACTGACCGGATGGAACCAGCTCTTTACTGCACGATTCAAACAATGTCCCACAGGGGTAAGTGAAGCACAAGCGGGCACATCTTCTAACGAGAAGGGATTGGCCAGATGGATGGATGTGTCATGATATAACGCAGTCGGCGCGTTTCCGTTTGAAATGAGTCCGTTATCTGCTAGCTCCAAAGCCCAGCAGAGAATCCGACAGTAAAGATTGGAGGACAAAACGTGTTGAAGACCCAGCTACCGAAACGGGTACACGTAATGCAGAAAGTAGTGGATATTTATTGACCAACCGAGGAGTGTGCGCCTTTCAGGATAGCTACCTTGTTTGGGGGTTCAGTTCCGTAATCCAATAGGGAGGTAGGTACGTGCGTCGCGTAGACCCAAAGGTTTCTGAGGTGAACATCCCCGATGCGTCTTGATGTTTCTTTTGTACACGAATAGCTAGAACCGTTTTCTTAGTAATACTATTGATCTTTCCGGGGAGAATTTACTCTCATAAACATCTCTCTTGAACTTACGGTTGCTGGGTAGGATGATAACCTCAGGTTTACATGCAATTTTGAAGACTGTGTTCGATTTGTGCCGTCTATTTCCTAGATTAAACTGCTCTTGAAATTGGCGTTGGACTACTGGATGCATCGTTCGATTGACTGTGACTCACCCTGTCTGATTTCACTAAGTTGTAAGAATCCATAAGGAGGTCGAAAGGTAGTTTGAATGGCTTCCTCGATCCTACCCGGCTCAACGTTGGGGCTACCTGAGTTGCGTGGAGGACCCAGCTGTGCGATCCAATATCCACAGCCTAATCGTCGTCGATGTGTTCACGGTTGATCTCACTTGGGGTCCATGCTGAATGGCCTTTTGGATAGTCGCTTGTGAGCACTGAAGCTCCAGGTTTAAGTGATCGTTGCGTTGCTCCATGCCGCTGATTGAATTCCTGCTCCTCCTGCCCATTCCTTCCGCCTTATGAGGACTCAGGAGTTGGGCGAGTGGTATGAGATAGCCTGCGGAGCTGTTTGTTATTCGATTCTTCTGGGGACACTCACTTTGGCGCTTGAGGCTTCGGCTTACAACAGTTGCAAATCTGCAACAACGGAACCGCACATAGGCCTATATTCAAAGAAGGTTTAGGTTCGGTCGGCTTGTCCCCTAGCATGTTCCAACTTTTTTACCCCGTCAAATGAATGTTGACAAGTGATTTCACCAACTAGCTTCAGCATTCCGCCAGGTACGTTGTGGGCCATTTTGTCAGAAGCGGCAAACGTCAGCCACTTGAAGTGGTTCCAGTTACTCTGGGGAAGGATAGTTATGTCCAAAGCCGTGTCAAAGTTTAACTTGCAAGGAATCCCGTTGGTAAGTACCTTATGGTAGTTTTTGATGGGTATGAACTCAATCTGGAAAGCGGCAACAAATGAAAAGGCGTCTGCAACCGAGCTTTTAATTTTTTCTGTTTTGTTTGTTCGCTGCTAGTGACTGCTCGCAGACTGCTTCCTTATGATATTTTTATAGCGGTTCTGGCAACTATGCTTCTTGCATGAGAAAAGTCGGGAGAAATGCCGCTCAACACATAACCACCAGACAGTATTCGATCTTTTGTGTGATTTCTGAGCCGAAATTTCGGCCCTGTTTCGCTTGGAACAAGTCACAGCATGGATATTTCGTGATTGCGCGGGGGAACCCGTGACCATGGCAGTGTCTTGTTTCTGGGCCATCGGTCGTTTGATCTCGGCAGTAAGGGAATCAAGCTTCGTTTCTGGGTCTTGTTCCAGCTTCGCTAATAATTTTGTGCGGATGTCGGCATCCTGCGGGGACTGTAACGTACCGATAAATAAGAGATACTTGAATTGGTCATCTGCTAACGAGCGAAGATTGAAGTGTTCACACGCAGATTTGACGATGTCTGCCAGTTCCCCAACGTTGTCTGTGTCTCGCTTGAGGTGCTTCGACACTGAGGTAAGGGTCCTCGACCGAGTGACAGACAACAACGGGTGGAACTTCAGTAGTGTTACAGTTTACCTCAGTGTCCTAAATTGCAACACACAGGATTTACAAAATTAAATCTACTGTGTTATTGAGCGAGGAAATAGAGGCGGGGTGGGCTATGGCCTTCACAACAAATGCAAACCTTGACGTCAACACTGAAAGTTTAGCGCAAGTGATTACGGGTCCCATGAACCACAGAGCATTGCATTCATCACTACTGTTACGGAAGTTCACACTGGAGGAAAGCATTTTATGCTGGTCTGTTTGTAGGCCGGTACAAGTTTCGTCGTTCCAGTGGCAGCAAACGTCACCTTGCATACCCTCGGCTACATCTGTGACTGACTCTGACAAGTAGGAGGTTCGTAAGGCGCACTAGCTGCATCAAACGAAGACCCCAGTGGCACAACCATCTCGGTGTTCAGCCAAATGGCCAAGTTTCTGAGAAATACTGACCTAAATACTGACGCTTATACAATAGCCAAAAGACCGCAATAAAAAGGCAAAAACAGGGTATAAAGCGAGCTTAAAACTGGGAATAACGGAAAAATTACCAGCAGGCGCCAAATACACTTGGTACAGTACTAAGTTAGTCGATCCACAATGTCTTGGATCAGAGGAAATTTGTCGAAGACACGTTACGTTTCGTGTTAATCCAAGCACCGTTTCCCCAATAGTATTGTAAAATCACGATCAGTATGGCACGCCAAAAATTCGAGTTACCGTGTAGTACACACAGAGTAGATATATGTAGCATCAACTTAAGCATGACACAATTATTTACGTACAAAGACAATTAACATTTTTAATGCCTGTCTTATATACTGTTCTTGAAATAGACCTACAAACTTGCATGATGAACTCAGCACACCCGGGTATGGCTGTACCTTGCAGCCCGACCAAGTTTCCCCGTTACTTAATCGACTCGTGGGCTAGCTACGTCTCCTTCGTGGGACGAGGGACCCTCATGGAGTGGTTTGGGGGTCTTTCCAGCATTAAAGATCAGATAGGCAACCTAACTAAAGATTTGCTTTCAGATGGTTTAACGGAGGAAGAGAGTAGCATAAATTTATCCGCTTGATACTTTCCCTTCAAGGTGCCAAAACAGGATTGAATTTGTGTTCCTCCCATATTAAGCAGTTACAGTCGGTGATTGACTCACAGAAGCTAGAGGTTTGTATACTTTCCAGCTACTAGGTTGCCAATCAGAATTCCGTTTTAACAAATAGAAATAATGAGTTGGAGGCTCAATTGGAGTCATCTCTTTTCCTCCTAGAGGATTTACGCCACCAGTTAACACAGCAGCAAGCTGAAAACCAGGTATTTCTTTGATCAGTTGTGCCTACCTTTCTGGTACGTGTTTTTCGTTGCCTTTCTAGATTTCTATGTGTTCGAAGGAGTATTCGGTTCTAACTCGTGTTTAGCGACACGGCCGGGGATGCGCCTGCGCGCCCCTGGTAGCACAGGTGTCCGATTTCATTCAGATGACTGTCTAAGAAAAGCACAACGGAACGAAATTTCGGACGATAATCGGACACAATGACAGCAGTTAACCATTCCCTTCCGTTGATTCCTGACTGCCTTTATTTATTGCTACATCTGTGATTTTAAGTCGTAACCACGTAGCGATCCATGGTTTAGATCGTTGAACCTCAGTTAGGCGGTCAGTTGTTGTTTTCCCTTTTATTTGCCCACCCGTTCCGTTTACGGCTTTTACTCGTGCTTGTTTTCACCATCCATACAGCTCACAGGCTGCCAATAGGTGTCTAATACTGGGTTACTTCAACCTCCCTGAAGTCTGCTGGGCTGATCTATCTTGCAGTTCGGCGGTGGGCACTTTCGGTTCGGATCTCCTTGAGCTAACATTGCAACTGCCTTTGCATCAGTTCGTGGACCTCCCGACTAGATATATGCGCAACCAAATTCCGTCTACCTTGGATCTCATTTTTGCGAAGTCACACGATTTCGTAAGTGATATTACTTACGACTGTCCTCTAGGAGCCAGTGACCCTGTCTGCATATCCTTTCGATGTGCTCTAACTAAGTGTCATCAAGCTACCGCTGAGGCATGTCCAAATATTTGGCGGACAGACTTTAACGCAATGCGAGCCAAAGCTTCAATTTTGCGTTGTGCGATCACGGTGGCTGACACCGTTGAGACAGCCTGGGAGAAATTTAAAGCATACCTCACCGAGATCTCTGCTCCCCACATCCCATTCACTAAGAGAAGGGTGACACGGGCGCAGCCTCCATGGATAGATCATACAGGTAAATACCTGCTCAGGAAGCGCTCTAAGTGCTGGCGAACTTACCAAGCGGCTTCATCAATCAGCACCTACGAAAACTATCGAGCGGTTAGAAATAAATGTAAGCATCATCTTAGAACTCTTCGTCTTCAGTACGAGGAGGATTTGGCTAACGCAGCCGTAACAAACCCAAAGAAGTTCTTTGCTTACGTAAAGAGACGTAGCGGTACAAACTCGTCTATACCGGCTTTACTACGATCGGACGGGACCCATGGGCATACCGACTATGATAATGCCTGTATACTTAGCGAACAGTATACTGGTGTCTTTTATCATGAGGCCTCTCTACCTCAAGTTGAGCTGGTCACTAAAGTTCCGGAGGATTCTTGCCTAACTGAAATAAGCATAACGGAGACACAAGTCTTCGGGCAATTGCAAGGGCTAAATCCTTCCAAAGCTTCTGGCCCTGATTCAATTCATCCGAAGCTGATGCATGAATTGGCCGTTGAGCTAAGTGGCCCTCTGACATGCGTGTTTACAATATCATTTGACAGCTGTGCCTTACCTTCTGAATGGAAGAAGGCAATCATCTGTCCGATTTTTAAGGGCGGGGACAGAGTTCTGCCCGCGAACTACCAGCCTGTCAGCTTTACAAGCGTAGTAGTTAAGTTGTTTGAAAAATTGGTCAGGGATTCGGTGGAGAATCACCTGATTAAGTTTAACCTTCTCAGTGCGGCCCAGCACGGATTCCGTAAGGGATTTTCATGTCTGACAAATTTGCTTGTAGCTCGTAAAAGCTGGGCTGAGGCAGTAGACAACGGTCACGCCATCGACGTGCTTTTCGTTGACTTCTCGAAAGCCTTTGATACTGTCCCACATCAACGACTCTCATTGAAGTTGAGATCGTATGGGATATCTGGAGCCGCCCTTAAATGGGTTTCTGCTTTCCTAGAGGGCAGAGAACAGTGTGTACGCGTGGGGCGTAGCCTTTCGCTTAGACAAGCTGTTCTTAGTGGCGTTCCGCAGGGCTCGGTTCTAGGGCCGTTGCTTTTCGCAATATATGTCAATGACCTACCCCAGGAGCTTGGAGTACCGTCGCTATTGTTTGCTGATGACCTCAAGCTCTGGAATATTGTGGATATCCCTGGTGGCTCTGAGGCATATCAGAGTGCTTTGGATAGGCTCTGGGATTGGTCAACCTTATGGTTGTTGCCCATAAATCAGGCGAAATGTTCTGTCCTCCGCATTGGAGGTGCTAGTCCCCCCACGTGCTATGTAGTTGGTGGAAGTGAACTCCCTGTTGTCATTCAGCAGGTTGATCTAGGTATCACCCATACCTCATTGCTTCACTCTGGGGAAAATTGGAGGAAGGCTGCTTGTAGAGGGTTCCGTATGATATGGTTTATTCGCCGCTCCTTCGGTGTCCTAACGGCCAATATCTTTGTGAAGCTGTTCTCAGCTTTCGTGCGACATCACTTAGAGTACTGTATCCAGGCTTGTCCACCTTGTCTTGTAAGGGACAAAATGGAACGGGAGAGGGTTTTGCGAGTGGGTACAAGGTTAGTGCAAGGATTACGGGGGCAAACGTATCCCGAACGTTTGCTTAGCTTGGGTATGTACTCAATGCACTACCGCAGAATTAGAGGAGACTTGATTCTCACTTGCCGTATCTTAACGGGTAAGATCGGTCCAGACTTGTCCTGGCTATTTAGTCCCGCCAAGCTGCCTAGTCTCCGAGGTCACCCGTTGAAGTTGCACAAACAGCGTTCTGACCGGGTAAGGACGGAAACTCGCTTGTCGCGTCGAGTTATTGAACGTTGGAACTCGCTTCCGGCGCACGTGGTTAGGGAGTCTACGGTAGAGGGTTTCGAGCGTCAGTTAGACGCTAGGGTGGCAGTACCAAACCTTCCCCTTCTCCTAACCGACTTGTATCTTCAACTTTCCCTTCGTTCTTTTTTAATTTTCTTCTCACCTTGGTATTATCATTATTTAGCTGACGTTCCTCCTCTTCTTTTCTTAGCTTACCCTTCACTCTTTTACTTCACATAAACCGGCCCGGCAGGGACTGCTGGGCAGGAAAATGTGGACAGTAATTGGTTGGACAGGGTGTGATGCGGTCTTTGTTTTAGGCTTTTCAACATCTCAAGCTGACCTGTCAATTCCCGATACAACGATACGCAAAAGAAGGAACATTAACGGGATTATCCTATCGTTCCGGTCCCAACTGAACTTGAACTTGAACTTGATCCCATCGGCAGCTGTGACAGCGGCATCCAGCTGGACACGACGTGTCAGCTAGGCTCACTTTACATCCAATATGGTTTGTTACTGGTTAGTATTCTTTCTGTATCACAGCCCTCAAGATCTATTATGCCCTACGCATGCTCTGGATACAGTGCTGGAAATCCCCGGCAGCAATAATCTAAGCAGCATTCAATATGGTGAATACTAAGCTTCACACAGCCCTTCGGCAGTTCCCCAAAACACTGTCTTTCGGTCTTAAGCGTGTACAACAGCCGTTTTAAAGAGACCATGGCAGAGTAATGCAATTAATTAAGTATTTCGCTGCAACCACTTCAAAATCCTCCGATTTCGTTCGGATACTAGGCGAAAATTACATAGATAACCCTCCGATCGTGCTATCATGGGCACCGCTCCGCTTATGATGTTCATCAGAAATCCACCGGAACGTTTTAGCAGTTGGTTTATTAGAATGTACAGACCAGGAGAAAAGACACTTCAGCTCCGTCGATCCCGATTAATCTCAGGTTTGACGCATGTGGTTTCGAGACGGTTTCGACGTTTCACTTGGAGCAGCAAAACTCCGCCCTACTCATCAGATGGCAGTATAGCAGCCTTTTAAAACTTTTCTATGTATCAGCAATGTTCTCCAGTAGGCTGTTCCAGTAGTTCACCACGCAAGTAGATACGGCACCCTCGGATCAGACGTGAGGCTTGTACAACTACTTGTGACCCAGTGTCGAGTTGTTCACGTTGAGCCTAGTGTGTCTTTATTGCTCACTATCAAGTTCTTCCTTTAAATGTATGTGAAGTCTCCTTGACCACGACGATATTCCGAGACTGGACCTTAACATGGTGTGACGGTTTGCGTACCTCATTGACCCATTGAGCTATACTAGGTGATGCCTCCGAGCATCTTGAGAGCTACTCCTACCAGGTTGGTCAATGGTGAGATGTCAGACAAACTCAGTCTCCTGGTCCTCCAGGTTGGGGGTTTGAAATGGGATGGCGTCCATTTCTGTAAAACTAAATCACTGCCACCCCGCTGCCTTGCGGACAGGCTTTTGAGCCAAAGGCTTTAGATGAGGACCCTAATCGTCCTCCTGTCTTGGTCTGCGCACCCTGGTAGTATTCCAGCCCACATACAACCATGACATTTTCTTCAAACATAAACTTCATCTTGCATCGACCGTCGCGCAGATTATCAAGGCTCGCCTTATCTGCTGCATACAGCAGGGCGGATAAGCGAAAACATGCTACTGCTGGCGCCTCCCTTCTTTCTTTTCCACCTGTTTCTCTCACTCCCATCCCGTCCCCCATTACTAACCTTCCTTCTATAATTCCCAGCTTAATTGACAGCAACCGAAGTGCTACTGGAGTAGTACTGTCTGCAGCCACCATCCCACAGCACCTATCGGACGCCTATCGGCAGAAGTCCCTTATAAGGCCACGCTATCCCGTTTTCATAGCGACATTCAACGTCCGCACTCTAAGACAAACAGGTCAGCGGGCTGCACTCGCACGCACCTTGGATACACTGGGTGTTGATGTGTGTTTTGTGTCCGAAACTAGGATTAATGACCCTAACGGGGTTATTGAATTGACTGCACCCGGCTTATCCTCTCGTTATTGGTTGCACGCATTCGGAGACGCCGATGCAGCACTCACGGGTCAAGCTGGTGTAGGTATCATTCTCAGCTCCAAGGCTGAGTCATCGTTGGTTGATTGGATTCCAATGAACAGCCGTTTATGCGCAGCCCGTTTGTGGACATCAGCTAAGGTTGCTTCACGAAGTAGTACACAACGCTGTTTGTTCGTAATTTCCGCTTGTGC